GAGCAGAGTGACGAGGGGTTTATATACAGGAAGCTGGACTACTCGCTTAGAGCCAAGGTCACGTGTAGCATCGTTACAGAACCAGATCTGTAACATATATATTATAATTCTAAAGTCACGTGGCTAGAGTATGCACGTGACTTGTGACCTCTATATGTATCTCGCGTTTTTTTCTCTCTTTTTTCTCTTTTACTTTTAGATTCTAAGAGATAGCTTAATCGATGTTACGACTTTTTCTTTACCCTAGTAAAGTCACGTGGGTTAGTATAGTGAATGAAGTAAAGTAAAGCAATAATATAGTAATTGTGACAGCACTGTGACGATGGTGTGAGGTGGCGACGCAACGTCGGGCTATTCATTTAGAATCTAAAGCTAAGGAGAGAAGAAAGGAGAGGAGGAGAGATCTATATACATATACATGTCAGAAGTAAGGGGATGTCAGGTGAGGAGCTAAGCCCCATTAGGCTTAAAGCTCGGGAACGCCACTATTCCCGGCCTGGCCTCTGTCACAGGCGATTAGGACAGGCGATTGGCTCAGGCGATGGGCTCAGGTGATCCGTAACAGCCGGCGCTGTGACAATTATAATTATTAATAAATAAAAAAATAAAGCTGAATTAAAAAATAAAAAAACAGTATTTTTCTTTATAATAATAGTAATTGTAACAGCACGCACTCTGGACTATGGAATCAAGACGTACATACTAATCTGTGAATAATAGACAAAGAACTAAAAGAGTGGAAGAGTGTTGAGGGCAGATAAGCTGGGTCCTCAAACACTAGCTGAAACAATCACATGACCACAACCACTAGTCACACCAGAACTGTGATAGTAATGCCGATTTATTGAAAATATTTTTAAAAAATAATAACGGGTAAATCAGACAGAAAAGCTCGAAAGCAGCAATGTGCACGATTCGGTCCAATCGAGCTGCAGTTAGCACCTTGCTAGTCGCTGCATGGCGACCAACGTCAAGTTACTATTAGTTAGTAGAATAGCGCCACCGCCTTTTATAGGCTGTTTTGGGAGCGCTAGAAGAAGATCAGAGGTAAAGGCTATATAAACAGATCACTCGACTTATGAGTCATTCCGGATAAAGTTAGGAAGGCTTCTAAGCGCGTCGGAGAATCGTTTCCCCGGAGCCTGCGCAATTAGCTTCCCCGCCTATCCTCACAAATTCTCACCAACTTTATACTTCAACATCATCACTATTATCACTATCATCAAATAATAGCACCCACTCTAACCTAACCTTCGAAATTGTTTGCTCGTAATATCGCTGCTTTTAACGATACTGAGCTAGATCGGTTCCTAAAAGCCAACGCAGGGTTAGGATCCTCCCGAACTTTTATAATCTCCAGGGCTACTAAGGTTCATATACAGATCCGTTGATGTAGAGGACCCAGAGAATGTAAAGAAAGACGAAGTTCTGCTTCAGAGATTGAGGTGAGAGGCTATACTCCGTCTCCGTCCTCTCCATCCTTCTCTAATTATCGTGGTAGAGCGCGAGCGAGCGGGCAGTCTCGTCCGATCGATCTCGACGACCTTACGGCACGCCTCGAGGCAGCATCCACCGACAGAGACGCAGACGCACCGCCTCAACGACGACCCTCTGCATCGTATTAGATGCTGGTTAACGGACGCCACGAATTAGTACCTGTCGAAAAGCCAGCTAACAAAGAAGCATAGCCTCGAGATAAACAATGGGAGGCGTGGCACACCAGCATAGACGAAAACGGGAATAAAGACCCTAACTACGCCTAGAGCCGGGATACGATAGAGCTATTAGACGAAGAAGAGGAGTATTAGTGCGGTCTAGAGAAAGAGACCGAACACTACAATATACTCGTTAATAAAGGCGGCCGACCCTTACACCTAGTTAGTCTTGGCCGTGATATTCTAGACTCGGAGAGTACCGCGAGATCCTGTCGTATTAGCAGCGTGTTAATTATAACTATAAGGGGAGGGTATTTTGGAGTTAGCTATGTGAGTGGCAAGAATTTTGCGAGTATCAACGAGCGACAAGAAAGGCGGAAGGCTACTTTTCCGAATATCGCGAACGGGTGCAGAAGCGGTTGAAAAGGCACGGCTTTGAACGGCCATTTTAGCTAGATGAGGATTTGGATCAATAAGACAAATTGGCGACGTGGATCGAGTTTCTCAATTATAAATACCAAGACTACGACAAAGATATGAGATTCGTCGAGCGTCTTTAGCTATAGTACGACGAAGCCTGGAAGGAGCTCGTGGACTCACAGGTCTTGAGACCGTCCGAGACAGAGGAGTTCATATGCAACATCAAGTCTTTGTTTCAGCGCGCAAGTAAAAAAGAACGGGCTGAGAAGGCTGTAGAATCCGCGAAATTGGCCGTGATGTCGGCCCAGAACGCTATTCCTAATCTACCACACACTTATATCTCCCAGCAAGCGACTCAACAGAGGCTAGCAAAAGCCCAATCCCAACTAGACGCCGCAATAAAGTCGCTCGAGTCGATCAAGAGACGTAGTGACCTCATCTACGAATTCCTTAAGAAGACGAAGCTATCTTAAATCACGAATAATGGTAGGCCGAAGCAGAGTTATGTAGGTGCCAAAGAAGATGCAGAGTACTATAGCATACTACTGCGATGGATTCTACAGCAGATCCCCTTGATCGAGCTCGAGTTGAACCAAGCTAAGGTGGCTGAGAACGGGGAAGGTGGTGGGAAAAGGCGCAAACGTAATCCCGCCGACGACCTCAACCAAGAGCGAGCTTCAAAGCGGCGGAAAGAGGATAATGAGAACAATGCTTTATCGAACCACAGAACGCGTGCCTCTACAACCCAAACGACTTCTTAAGACTCCTCCTCGACGCGGCGGCCACTACAAACAACAGGACACGAGGGACAACTCAAGCACAACTCTTATAACGCAATAGAAGGACGGGCTATTAAGTAGCCTAGACACAGTAGACAGAAGACAACAACCGCCACAGAACTAATATCAATTAGAGAGCCTCTTTCTACCCAATCGGATAGGTTAGAGCCTGATAATAGTGCTACGCAAGTGCCCTAGAAGCATATAAAAGTCGAAGACTCGCGGGCCATTTACCTGAATTTAGTATGCTCCCAAAACGAGGTGAACTAGCTCCACCCTATTGTTACGGACCACCTGGATCGCCTGGCTAATCGCCTGTCACCTGACCTAATCGCCTGCCTAATCGCCCGCGACAAAGGTCAGGCCGGGAATGGTGGCGTTCCCTAGCTTTAAGCCTATTGGGGCTTAGCTCCTCACATGACATCCCTTTCCCCTGGCATATATATATCTAGATCTTCTCCTCTTTCATTCCCCTTCTCTTCTTTACCTTTAGATTCTAAGAGATAGCCGAATCGATACTTCGTCTACGTACTGAGCTTCCCACCGTGCTGTCACACCTATGAACCTCTATTACGCAAGTCGAAACCCTCTAGCCCTCGCAGCCGTCTATCGTATAAGAAGAAGTTAATAGCGTTTATAGGCGCAAAGCCTCAAAGGATATTAAAGTCGGGGTAAGAGTGATTCCCTAGTGATATCTCTCTTAGTGGCGAGCACCTGGGTTATTACGGTGCTGGATCAGCTACGCTTAGATGTCAATGACTCTAGTCTTCGGAATGATAAGACCGCGGCCTCTTTTAGAGTGCGTCGCATCCAAGGCGTGGTAATTAGCCGGGCCGATTTGATTTACTCGCTTTGCACAAGAAGATTTTAGGCGGGTACTATATATTTAAAACCCAATCAATCGATTAAGAATTTGGTCGGTCGCGACATGATGGGGACGTTTTTGCTGCGCTAGTGACTAGTCGTAGCACCGGCTAAATACAGCATCAACCAACAGAGTAGTAATACGGAGCTTTAAGACGAAGCAAGAGGGCGGTTAGAACGATTAGAACTAACCCCACTAGTTTAAATCGCCCCCCCCAACTCCAACAGCGGAGGCGAACGACTACCAATCAAGTCTGTGTAACGGCGTATTACCTGCTTTAAATGGGGCTCCCAACTATTGCCGACAAAATGTACTAGTATGGGGTGCATACTGCATTCAGAACGCTCCTATACATATTAGGTTTATGACTCACTATTTGAGAATGGATGCAAGGGTTTCTTTGCGTATGTAACTATCTTATCCTCCGGCGTCCACTAATCTGGCGGGGTTGGTTAGCGGTAAGCTACGCCCTACTAGGCTAAGTGCGGCTGAGAATGTGCGGGGCATTAGATTCGGTTAGCCCCCAATTCTTCCTTTTCAAAACCGCTCGAATCCAATCAATAGATTGTTAGCAACAACGACTATCTAGGCAGCAATATGCATTGATAAGAAAAGAAGCGCCTTCTATTAGGGGAGAATAAATTAAGGGAAAGGCCCCTAATCATATAAGTCTGTGCAATTGTAACGTGTCTCGACCAAGGCCTACTTGCAGACTAAGCCATATTCTTAGCCTCCTCCTTATCATATAGTAAGATCTCTATAAGAACCGCTAGCAATCTCAATTTTCCTGGTTAAAGTCTAAATCCAAGCTATAGACTTCTGTTTGCTTCAAGATCCTAGAATTGCCTTTCTAAGCAATTACCCTCGCAAAAATAGCAGTGTGCGTTGACTCTTTCCCAACCTAGCCTCTCAACAACCACCTAGACCTCCCCGATGCCTATGCTCCAAAGATGCGCTTAGAATCGTATGACCCTGAAACCTATCAGAGGCTTCCATCTATTTCCGATGCCGTTGCGAAGTTTGATTTCATCGATAGAGAGAGTCTCATCTCGACTACTATCCGAGAGCTCTTTCTTAGTCACAAAATGGATCGAACATTTGGTCTCATCCTTCTTCATCGCTATTTCGACATCAATGAAACCAAAAGACTCGTGGACTATAGTGGCACCTCTGTACCTTGGCGGCTAAGCAAGACCTCAGGAAACATAAGGCCATCCAACTGGCTTCTCACTGCTAATGGAGTATACGACTATATGAGTTTTACTACACCTTTGTAAGGGATGAAGCCACGGAGCCTGACCTTGCGAACGCGGACCAACTAGCCTTTTTTGATGCATTTAAGAAGCTCCTCCGCAAATATAATGCGGAGGGACTCTGGGGTCTCTGTCGATACCCAGGAGATGACTTTCCGAGACGAGTTAAAGTTACCGAAGGGCGCGCTAATATCAACTTAAGGCCGGAGGATGTAAATAATCATCTCCATCATCTCCTTCTCTAGACTATCACTAACTAACGATAATATTGCAGTACCCGAAAGATATAACGTCGCGCATAGCCGCCTAGTTTTTCTCCCCCCTACTTTGGGAGTTCAAATGCAATTGCGGCTACAAGTACGAGGGCTCAAGTCACACGGGCGAACACAATGGTCATAGGGAGAGCACTTGAGAATTGCAAATGGACGGATGAGCTAAAATGGACTAATTGTATCTACCTTGAAATTCATTTGAATTTTCATGTTTTATGTCAGCTAATTCACCGCATAATGCATAGCAATACACACATTAGCAAACCACGTAAACGAAAAGTCATTAAATCCTTATAAATTAGACTCGCTTTTAGTATTTAAGTGGAAATTAATTCATGTGATTTGGAATCTGTGTGTTTCCTCCTTTTGTGGCGCCCCGTGATAATATAACTTGTTGGAATTGTCGCTCGAAGGTAAAATACGTGAATTCCTAATTCTAGTCGCTAAATAAGCCTTTAAATCGGGTTACCTTAACGAACATGGGGACAAAAGTCCGTGCGTTCAGGGCATCAGAATCATGAATTTTATTAATTAATTAGCTGTAGACCAGCCACATCGCTTAATTAAGTCGTGTACCCAGAAGTCCTGCTGCTCAATAAGCCCATTGATCCATTCCTGAGGAATTTTGTCCCATTCTTCTAATACTGCTACAACCATTTGAACCTCAGTTGTTGGCTGCCTTAGGCGCCTATGGAGAGCTTGTTTTATTCTCCTCCAGCACTTCTCAATAGGATTCATATCAGGGCTAACTGCAGGATGGGGGAATAGAGTAATAC